AATGAATGCTTTTGTTAAAAGTTCAATAACTTAAAAAAATTATATGGAACACCCTATTTATTGTTTTTGCATTTAAAAGATTATTAAATTGTCTTTCTAAAATTATTTACTTTTAGATGTTTATAATCAATAACTAAAATAGCTATTTATGTATCAAGTACGCAAAATAGAGTTTTAGGGGACCAATCGTAATTAATGACGAGGCGACGTAGGAGCCGAATCTTTAATGAGAGGATTCACCTAAAACCTTTTACGTACGTGGTGCATACAAGATTTTTTTGTTAAAGCTACCAAAACACGAATTCACACCTCTTACTAATTAAAAAAATTTCCTTACCATAGTAACCAATTTTATTTTTTAGTCCGCAAGAACTGTTTTTGGGGACTCAGTACCTAAAATAACCGTTTTGCGTACTATTTTATTGAGTCTGAAAAACACTCATTTTGGGGACTCAAATGAGTCCGCAAAATAGCTATTTTTGGGAGCGTATACAAAAAAGATATTTAACTTTAAACATTAAAAACAAATTACTATTGTTTCAGTAGCGTGCATCACAGTTGCACAAGAGATGGAAGAAATATCACTTAATAATTACAATTGTGTTAAACTGTGTTATTCTTTTTTTTTACAATAAAATAATTCGAATTTCAGTAATTATAACGATTTTTACAATCTCTGGATAAATCATCGGGTGGTGGAATTACCATGGTTGTTTGTTCAATTAATATTGAATGTTAAATATTTTTTTGTTTATCAATTCTAGACATTAAAAGTTTATATTTTTAGAAAGACAATTTATCAATCTATTAAATGCAAAAATAAAAAACAAGGTGTTCCATTTATATTTTTTAAGTTATTTAACTTTTAACAAACTTCTTAATTTATTAATTAATCTTTACAAATGCAAAACACTAAAAAAGTGCTACAGCTTTAAATTCTGTATTTTCTTCTTTGCAGAAGTAAGAAAAATTTGTTGTGGCTGTCTTAGTTTTTGTGTAATAAAGTTTTAAAAAATGCATGTTTTTGTCAAAAAAAAACGTCTTACTTCTAAAACAAAACGAAATCGACTAATAAAAGTTCAACATAAAAACATTGTTTTAAAAGGCTACATCCAAAAATGCCAATAAACATACGGTGTTTCATTTAAAAAAACACAACTTATATTTGAGCTGTATGGTTGAAAATAATTTTAGGTGATGCACTAGATTAGTATCTATCAATTTCCTATACAATTTTTTTAAATTTTACCATTTAAAGGTCACTAATAGACTTTTTCACCTCGCTGGGACACCCTGTTTTTTTTTATTTTTTATCTTTTTTGTATATGAAAAATGAAAACTGCGTGCCCAATCCGTCTGCAATTTTCAGGAAGCAATAAACACGCAGCCGCTTAGCATTCAGCGTAAGTAAATCCGGGGTTTCATATGTTTGAATAATGTTCAGTTCCGAATATCACAGGACACATTCCAGAGATCGGAGCGAGGATTGCGGGTGGCGGACAGAACACTCAGGAATGTCCAGGATTCTCCAGAATATTGGTCTCGGTAACCTCGCTTGGCGAGGATATTAATATTGCGCCTTGCGGGCCCCTTCACCCCTGTCCGACTAATTGCAGTGCGTAAATTGCGAATGCAATGAGAGAAATCTTCGCAGGAGTGGGAATAAAAAAAGAACAACAAATCCATCGTGAATGCAGCACTGCTAGAGCGCTATACAAACTTTAATCCCGCCGGGTTAGTAAAGAAAATATTTAGCCAGGGGCCAATCTAAATTTGGTCGGTGAAGTGGCGTGCCTGATTGGTCGTATCGAGAGCATCTCCGTCAAGTGTTATCCTTGCAGGATTGCTTCGAACAGAAATTGTGGATTTTTCATCAAGCTTCACATTTACCCGCTTCTTCCAGACTCACACAATTACCGCAATTAAATAAAAAACCAACCCGAAAAAATATTTACAACAATACAATTTTTTGTTGTTGCTTCAAATTTGATTACTGCAAAACTCGCTTCTTCCATGTCCAGTTGGTCGTAAACTTACCGAAACGTAATTTTTAACGGCCAGTTTGAATTATTAAAAATCCAAATCTCGTATAGTCCGTAATCTGTGCGCTTCCGAGGAAAATGTGCCATCCAGGACGCTAAAATCAGCGAACCTGAGACTTTTCCCTTAGGACAAATAAAATTTATGGCTGATTTGACATTTCTTGCTGGACGTTGGACGAAAAATCACTTCGGCACGTACTCTTATACACAATATATTTCCCTCCTGCTCCGATTCATAAAACGCCACTGGACGAAGATGATATAATTTTATTTGGGATAGGAGGCAACATCAGTAATCTACTCGGGTTCTAGGTGCGAAACATTGAAATGCCCAGATAAATAAGGGCCCTCGAGGGTCGCCTCCTTAAGGAGGATATTCTTCTGATTTATGGCGAATCTCGGAATCACATCGCGCTTTATGACGTACTTTCGATAAAAGGCCATTCGATTGATCGCTTAATTACATTATTTTACGTAAATAGGCAGAAAATTACTTTTTAAAACTATTATGTTATTTTCCTTTAATTGCATACAAAAATTCAGAAATACCAGTGACTAATTCAATTTGAGGTATTTTCAAACAATTTGGGTACCGCATACACTATTCCAAAAAATTAAGAGAACAAAAATGTTTCCTAAATATTATAGGGATTTTTGAAAGACTGTATGTCATGTTTCTAGATTTAAAAAAGTACATTTTGAAGCTTTAAGTTCTTAATTTTGAGATCTTTTAGCAAATTTTGTGCTACGGTTGTTACGCAATCCTAAGAAATAGCCCGATGAAAGAAATTGTAAATTTTTTTGTTTTTAGTCCATGGACTAGGACATTTTTTTTTTAGTTAAATCAATGCATGGACCGGATAGTCTATTCATTCAGCTTTAATATGCTTTTTTAAATCTGTCAAAAACTAGAATAAATGTCTTACAAGATGCTTTTACGATTTTTTAAAACAACATTTTTTTACCCTCAGTATTGGTTTAAAGAAAAGAGAAAAAAGTAGCTTTTTGCGTTGTTTTAGTAGATCTACCGCGTAATCACAAATATTGAAGGGGAGAACAATGTTTTCAGGTTTTCTCGAATCGATTGCTCAAAGTTTTAAAGAAAAGAATTAATTGAATAGTAGCACATATTGTTTGGAACATTTTTTAAATTTCGCAATGGTTATTTAATTTTACGAAGAATACAGAAATTTAAAAAATTTATTTTTTATTCGATTGTAATATAGTATTTTTCGAAATGAAAATCTGGACGAAAACCCCATCATTTTGTTAAAGACCATGGTTGCTAGGAGGTAACGGTCTCTTTTGTCGAAAAATATTTTTCGGTAGCAAAAATAAAAAGGCAATGGTTGATTAATTCATTAATTTTCAAATTTAAATTTAACAATAAATCTCGCACCTCAATTTCCAGCAAATCGTCCGAAATTTCGTTTTTTGTCCTTATATAGGGTGCGCCAGAACTCGCGCCTCAGAGAAAAATTTCAAGTAAGATAAGATACCAGGAACATGGAAAAAATGTTTAAAAAATTCTATCTGTCAAAAAATTTTGACATTTATTTTTTAACATTTGACATTTATTTATGTCTATTTAATGATACTGATGATCTGGTACTTATATGTTTTTTTTACAATTATTTAATAAAGGTACAAAAGTTTTGCCAATAAAAGATACAAATATCACTGAATAAAGTTACAATTTAGGATACAGCTTCCTTCTTTCCTCTTCTAATAGTCTGTAGCAAAAAAACTTGGAAAATTATTTTTCCAACAGAAATAAGTAGAGTCAAAGTGCAAAATTTAAACTTCGAAATTTTTATCGATAAATTTTTTTAAAATATTTTTCCCATGTTCTTGGTAACCTACCTTATACGGCATTTTTCTCTGGGGCGCGTGTTCTGGCGCACACTGTATACGTACATAAATAACGATTTATCCATAGACAAAGGTTAGCTCATTATTCGCAAATTCATACTTCTAATTTATGAAAACTAAACCCAATGATTTCAGATGTATTTATGTAAAAAAATAAATATGCAACATCGTAGTAACTATAATAATTATTTACATTAAAATCTGACACGCTTCTGCCTTTAACCGAACGCACTGGTTGCCTATTCTTGCGACATCAATCTGCCGCAGTCTGGTGATAACCGTAGCACAGAAAAATTTGTTGCCAAAAGATCTCAAAACATAAAAGCTTCAAAATGTTTTTTTATTCTAGATACGACCATTTTTTGATGAGCTTGTTGAAAAACAATTTAGCGAGAAATCGAAAAATAATAAAATATCCAGGCTGTTCTACTTAAAAACCTGAAATTGATGTCAATTCCGGTGAAACAGAAAGCAGCATTGATTGAGCATCGATTCCAAACAATAGATGGCAATAAAGTATGCAACTTTGTTATAAGAAGTATTGTTTGTATATATCTTTAAAAATAATGCAGTTGTGGCTTGGAGTCTATTTCTGTGATTTTTCCTATAAGTTTTTTTTAATAAATTGTTGTGGAATTTGTTTGTTTGGCACCTGTTTTAAGTGTTCATCAAAAATTCTTCGAAAAGCTTGACTGCTGCTCATCCAGTTCATTAAAAATTAATTTTCTTTGGGCTGAAAGCTCTGCGCTGGAAGTAAATCTCGTTTATGTGAATATATTGTTTTATGATCCGCCTCATCCTCTTCATCTTAAAGAAGTTTTATAACTTAGATGTTATCGATTACTATCAGTTTGCGGCGGCCGTGATTCGTTCCGTCAGTTGAGGAGAGGCCCCGCCCGCGCCCTAAGGTTGCTATAGGAACCGTGCCCCATACTCTCGAGCAAGATAAAAAACGTCCGCTATCGCAGGGGAGATAAAGAGAACCGAACTGATTCGCGAATCATAAGGGAGTCGGGGCCATTCGATGAATAGCAAAAAGATAAAGTCGCTGAAAGCCCTCGTGATTGACCGTTCCTTTTCTTTCAGGCGAGAAGCCGCACAAGTGCACCGTCTGTGGCAAGGCCTTCAGCCAGTCCTCGAACCTCATCACGCACTCCAGGAAGCACACTGGCTTCAAGCCCTTCGCCTGCGACCTCTGCGGCCGGGCCTTCCAGCGCAAAGTGGACTTGAGGAGGCACAAGGAGACGCAGCACACTGAGCTCAGGCCCATCGTCACATAGTGCCAGACCGCCGGAAGCACCGCCGCGCTTCCGGCCAAGGAGGACGAGGGAGGCAAGTTGATGCCGGCGTTTAGGCCGCATTCCCTGATGGACCAAAATGCGTCGCAGCCGATCGCTAATCATTTGATCAGTGCTGAGGCGGGTTCTTCGAATTTGCAATTGCCGCCGATACGTTCAGTGTTTTCTAATGTTTGTTGGACGTCGTAAACATACCAAAGACTTACCAAATTCACTCTAGGCGTTTCATCTGTGATTTTTTGACATCATATGAGATATGGTGCTAGTTTTGGACTACTTTTGTATTTGTTTCGAGTCGCGGTAACACCTTTTGGAATCTGATTCCGAAGGGAGAAAGCACCGACTTGAGTCACTGTACTAGGTGTTATTCCAAATATTTAATATCTAACGTGCAATTTGTTATTTCATAGTGCAATTTTACGGTTATTAATGATGATGGAAACATATCAAAAGCACTGGCAATATTTTCAGAACTTTCTGAAACATTTTTTGATTCACTTCTGTGTTGTTCTGAATGTAAATTTACTAATCTAAAAAAAAAAAAAATAAAATTTAAATTTCCAAATCAATTTTTTAAATTTGAAAATATTTAGACCTCAAATTTCATTTAATCAATTTGGAAATAAAAATAACCTATCACCAAAGTAAATAATTGACTTCAAACAAAATTCTCTCATTATAGAAATCAATCCTAAAAATAATTTTTTGTCTGGCATAACTTAGCTCTTAACTAGCGGCTTCAAACTTTTTCAGGTTTATAAAAAAAATCGTAATTTAATAGAAACAAAAAAATGCAAGCCTTTTTTATAAAACTAAAAATAATTTTTTGTCTTAAACTTTTCTAGCATTTTTAGTGGGTATACAAACAAGTTTTTAAATTTCTTTAATAAATACAAAGGTTTTTAAATAAATTGTATTTTACTAGAACAAATACACTTGTTTATCGCAACAATTATAGATTCATCTAACAGTTTGATGATATAATTATGTGAGAATAAATAATAAAAAATATTGTATTATAATAATTAAAAACATTTTCGTGAATCCACAATTGATTGTTCTGAAACAGTTTGGTGTTATCAATTTGGTGACAAATATGTCGTTTTGGGAAAAAACATATAATTAATAAATAATATACTTAATAAATAAAACGTAATAAATTAAAAGCCGATATCATAGCATTCAAATGTTTTAATAGTTATTTGTACAACTAGTTTTGAAAGTCATACTTGTTTTCACGAATTTGCAGTTGATTAACGAGGGCTCTGCCCAAGTTAATCAAGGAAATGAGTGAATAAAAGGMCTTTTAAAACGAGTTGTACACAACATTTTTTTGCATAGTGATATCCCCAGGTACCCCAAAGACTAAAAAGATAACATTTTGATAAATCAAATTGTAATGTATCGCGAGCTTTTTGTAATGAACTCTATAGAAACTATAGAAATCGTTTAAAAAAGTATAACTTTCTATACGATTAATCGTAATGAAAATTCAACTTTCATAATCACTATGCAAAAAATAGTTTCTTTTTAAGAATCCATATTACAGATATTAACGATTAAATTAAAAGTGTGAAATTTATTTATTTATTCTGTGTACCTTCATACAGGTGATCAAAAAGTATTATTATATTATTAAAATTATTATTTAAATTTAAATATTTTAAAAAAACTTTCATATTAGATTATCTTTTAGAAAAGCCAAAAACGAAAGCTTGGTTCTACATATTTTGTCCCCTTATGTATTCTAGTCAGCTCCAACTAGTTTTTTCAGAAGTCAAAAATTAAATAAACAAAATGGTAGTTTAAATAAATAATTTCAAAAAAAAAATGAAAAATGGTACAAGACGAGATACCTACAATAGAAAAAAGAAATATTTTTCTAAATAAAAATTTATGGATTAATAATTGACGGTTGACAATGCAGTTGTTGTGATTGCTCTAGAAGTCGAAAAAAGCCGGAATTTTAGTGTTGCAAGTTGGAGCTAAAATATCACTAGTCTCGAAAGTCTCGTAGAGACCATATCTTTATTTACAACAGAGGAGCAACGCCACAGGAATACAAAGCAGGCTTCCTTGATTGAGCAACTTGATTTTTAACCAGAGTTGCCTCCAACTACGGATTGAAATCGTAGTCTCGAGGAAAAGCGAGATTTTGCCCGCAGCACCGCAGCAAATTGAAAAATATTCCATTCTTTCAAGCATCTCGTGAATTATTTATCAGAGTCACAATTAACGTCCATTAGCATTGTTTATTTTGACTGACTCGAATTTGCGCTAGTTTTTCAGGAAAATCGCGTGGAAGGGGCAGATTAACGGCTCCTGATTAAATTATGCACAATGCGGCGTTGTCATGTCATGTAACTCCATACTCCCAGAGCTGTGGTAGGGAAGATCACGACACTAGAAAGCTGGTTTCCGGTTTCAGCGTCGTGTCGACACCCCCACTTTCCACCACCAAAGCTGTTTCAAGCTCGCAAAACTGTCAAGTTTCATTCTCTTAAACGACTGATTTTACTTCAACAATTCTAGATTTGTTATTTTCAAAGCTCTGCTCTTGAAAATCTTCACTTGAAATATTTATTGCGAAGAGTGCTGAAAGTATTGCCAGATGTCTCGAGTTGTCTGTTCACATAACGACCACTTTCATTATTCATTAAAGTACAGAATATTATTACTATTACACGGGATTAATTCATATTGCAACTCTTATTGATCTCACACTATCAACACGTAATTATTTTAACGAAAGTTATTATCAGAATCGGATATTGTTCTAGTTACACTATAAATTCATTACTAATACACTAGTCAATAAAAATGTTGTTACCAAATCCGATTCTTATAATTGAGATTCACAGTCTACACTTTCCATTAAGTACAACTTTCCAACGATATTATTTTACAATACACGAATGTACATATTTTCCATTACTGTTATTTTTGTGGATAGCTTTAGTCAATGTTAAATGTATTATAAAATAATGTAAATTATAAAATTTTAAGTAAAGGCACTTTGTATGTAAATGTGAAAATTCCTGTAAATATGCTTATGTGTACGTTTTAACACACACTTTTATTCTGTCACCAGAAAGTAAATAAAATATTGTGATTATAGAATTTGTTATCACTTTCCCTACTAGCTTCACAAAAAATTGCTCTCGTTTTTGTGAAATTTTATTTGGGCTGTTCTCAAAGTACAAATTTGTTGTGTGATTGGATGATTGGCAGGTATCCAGTGGCGTTTCTCTGTCAATAACATATCCGGTCATTAAGCGATGCGAAATTTGGTTTTGGCCGTTTAATTTACGAGTTGCAGTTGGCGATTCAGTTCAGTTGGAGTCGGTTGTAAAAGCTCTCTCTCGCAAATATTCAAACGTTTGAAAACGTGCAATTTCAGCAACGTGGATGTAGAACGAAATGAGAGAGAGTCTAATTCGTCAGGATTTTCCAAATCATATCATCGAGGGCTCGCTTTGTGCACACACATCTCTCCAGAGAAATACAATCAGCGAGTCGGCGAACGGTCAATCTGCCGACTGGACGTTATATGTCAGAATTCACTGGACTGGCGAGCTTATCCATCCCCCAACCGACGCAAATTACAACAACCACCCTTAAATGTTTTCTCGCACAGCACACCCAACAAAACAAATTCAATTCCGAAATGGCTCGCTGCCGACGAATCACACATTAAAGCCACCCATCTTTTTTAATTGACGCAAAGTGTTAAACTATTTCTAACGGTCTCAATGGTTAATTTAGTAATAATTTTAACATAAACTTAACTAAACGTATATAATTACAAAAAACTTATATGAATAAAAAGTTTTAAATTTGGTGGATGCGCCGGGTTAAGCTAATTTGTATCCCAGCGCGTCCACCAATTGTGCATTTTTCTAAATGTTTATAATTTCAGTTAACCATAAAAATTACAATTTTTTATTAAAAAGGAAGCGACTATTATACATCAGACTCTCTTTATTGCATTATAAACAAAAACACTAAATTCATTGATTTTATTGCAAAATATCTCAAACATACACTCTATGACTTAAATCACAATAATTTAAATTTAAATAAAACAATGGTAATTAGTAGAAAACTCAAAATCTAAAACATTAAAGTAAACATGTTTAAAAATATTTTTTTAAAAAGCCTATGTATACCTATCTACACAAAAATAAATACTTTAACACATTAAAACATTTTTTTCAAATCAATATTTATTAAATGCTTTATTGTTTAGTCTACATTATGTTTCTTTTTACGGTACTTTTAATACGTTTTTTAGTTTTTCCTTTAAGCATAAAAAAAGTTATTTTTTAGATTCTAATGGTATATTACGAGTATTCTTACGTCTATGCTTTTGCGTTCTGTTACCTTATGTTTGTTATATCCCAAGCCATAGCTACCACCACATTGGCAATGTTGCAACTGCGTTTCTTTGATGTGAAATAGATCAGAAACATTTGATTTTTGTGTAAGAGAAAAATCTGAGTTAAAGCTGAACTYTACTGACAAATTTTGAGCTCAAAGGTATCACTATTTCATACCGAAAAAATATCGTAAAAAGTGACAAAAGTGGCGTTAGTTATGGCACGAGAYTTTTAACTACAACTACAATTTTTAATTTTTAACTACAACTACTTGTTACACACTTACTTTTTCCTTAAATTCCTTTTTTTTTACCCTAAATTTATTCAATTTCAGGTATTGTGTAACACTTTTCTCAACTGTTTTTTTTAATTTTCTTGCTTTTTAATTTTATTTCGACGATCTTAGTTTGCGTTTTTTATTTTCCAAATAATAGGTACACACATTAGTTTTATTTTGCGTTTTAAACATATACCTACTTGAGTGCGAAAAAACCACAAATTGTCAAAATTGTCAAATTTTTCAGAGATTTACATAGTGTGAAAGAGGTTGTTTCCAAAAAGGTTAGAAAACTAAAAAGAAATGTCTTATTTGGTGGTCTTGCCGTGCAGTGTCATAGACATAGTCAAAACAAAATGGAAAAACTTGAGTTTGGAAGATGCCTGACAATTATCAAATTGTGAATTGTGACAAAGACAAGTTCAAAAACCTTATTAACAGGCCAAATTACATTCTAAAAAACATCAATTTCCGTTTTTTTGCACTGAATTGCACACTTTTAAGTTTATGTACTTACATTTTGTATAATTACCTACTTACTTATTTTTTACGTTTTTTTTATATATTTTTTAAAATGTTTATTATGAGAAAGAAAACATTTTCATAAACACAACCCAGATTTAAACCAAGAACTTTCTACCTGCTGAACAGATGCTTTTCATGGGCTACCATAGTGTCTCTGCCTTTTTGTATATATTCTAACAAATTTTGTAAATAGTTATTTACAAACAAAATAAAAGAAAATGATTTTCGCATAACGTTTGTAGGTACAATATTTTATCCGCAAACGTCACAAATGTGAACACTTTTATGACTAAATGTCACAAGTAAAAGTTTTACAAAGTTTTAAAGTGTCCAGGTGATTTTGTTCATTTACTTGCTGTTGCTTTTTACTCTCGATTTAAATACGTTTGCGGATAAAATAGTATGTGTTATTTAGAGTGCCTCAGATGAATTATTTGCCTCACTGTGTTGAGCAAAATAAACGTTCAGCTTTGCCACATAAACTATCATTTTTACTCCTAATAACATAATATACTATGTTGAAACGAACCAAAAATATGACCAAAAATTGCAAGTTTTGAAATAGCCGTCAATAGTGTTTATAAAATCGCTTAAAAAATTATAAAATTAACGTTATTACTTATTCTTCATTATATTACTTATTCTTCCCTGTTTCACGAATAAAAATCCTAAAAAGTTTCGGTAATTAACATATGTGGCTTCCAAATGTCATGAAAAAATACACTTTCCATCCTTGTAACACAATAGTTATTTATTACACAAGACGATAAAATTGAATTTTATCTTTGAGAGCAATTTAGCGTCGAGGCGTCAGCCGAGACGCTAATATGCTCGAAAAGATAATGAAAATTTTATCGTCGTGTACAATATAATATTTTATTCAATCCCCACTAATTTTGTTGTCAATTTGGTCAATATTTATAAATGTCAATGTAAAATTCAAAAATGAAATCTAATATCAAAGATCGTTAGCAACTAACAACCGCAAATATAGAACAATGGATGTATTTTTTATCATCTAGACGATAAAATTTCATTTTAACATGAAGAAAAGAGTAGATAAAATTCAATTTTAACATAAAGAATTGAATAAATAACTATTTTGCGTTTCTGTATCATCTTCAAGACTTTAGTCTATTTTATTTTTATGTTTACATTACTTTGAATACAATTTTTCGTTGTTTTAATTGTTTCTTTCAAGATTAATTGTTTCAACTATATAGTTGTCACCTTTTATTTTTAATTTTTTGGTGTACTAATAACAAATAATAACATATTTGATGAGTTTGCTCATTTTGAAAAAAAAAATTGATACTATACGTGCATTTTATTAAGTATAAAAAGAAACGATTTTGTAGAAGACTAGCGTGTCATATCACATGTGTAAAACGTTACGTCATTTTTTTTAATATAATTCAAGCATTACAATTTTATGACTGTTAAAATGAAACAAAACAATTAAAAGTTAAATTTACTGAGAAGTAAAAAAACAAATTAGTATCAAATATTTGTAATATGAGAAAACAGTGAGTACATTTTTATCTGAATGAAAAATAAAATATAGTTGTGGTTACTGTGAATAGTCAAAAGTATTAGGCAGTAAAATGGTATCTTTCGTGTGACATTATAAAGCCGTTTGTAAAGCAGATCACATTCTCTGTAAAACGTTAGACGTAGAGTGCATTATGCAAAGTGTATTTTAAAATGTAACATTATCCAAATTTTATTTATTTATTTGACAATAGGCTCACGTACAGCCGGAGTTGTGGTAATACAATTTGAGAATAGTGAACGGCGATCTGTCTCCGCGGTGTTCTTGCGATCTGGGGAAATAAAAGGGGAGTTTTGATCTGTCCCGCCCCTTGTCAGCTCTCGAAGTCACTTTTACATTAACAACCTGCAACATTTCCATCTCTTCTCCGTGTTTCGAAAAATTCGATTCTCGCAAGCGGAATCGTGAGCACCAACTGTGAATCGAGAACAAGATCAATGTTCTTAAGTGTGTTCCAGACAAGCGAAGTCGGAGCCGATTCAATTTCGATCATTTTGAATATGCAAACTTGTCTTTAACTTGATTGTAGTTTCGAGAATGAATAGCGGAATTCTAAAGCAAAAATTATCTCTCGCATCAACATTTTATAGCGTGCAAACAATTACAGAGAGACACGAAAACATGCCCAACTCAAAAACAACACCTAATAAAATATTAAAATGTAGAGATTGTGAGTTATGTAAGTTAGACCGGCACATGACTGCTCCAAGTGGGCTAAACTTGTATCAACGACAAACTGGACATTCGCACGCAACGAATAGATTTTCCGCAAGAAACACATTTTTCATAATTATACCTCCTGATATCCCCATTGTCTGTTTAAACTTTTTCCTCGTCGCGTCGTAATAATTGTACTAGTGTAACAAAACGAATGTTTTTTGTAAGCTACATCAACTGACTTGCAAAAGCAACATTTTCCAAACAAATTACGCTTAACGATAAACATTTAAACGTAATAGTAACCAAAAACATTAATGTCTCTCGACTGCATCCAATACACCAAACTACACAAAGATTCGGTCTTCTCTTTCTGGTTTGAATCGCAAGTTGTGGGAGCAAAGCGAACAAAACCATGTGTGAATCCTGTATGGATACGGATCTGTAACAGGTCACAGGGGTAGAATCTTTTCTCATACGTACTTGTAAAAGCGGTTGGCACACTCCTGTGCCCAATTATTGCTTGAAAGAGCTGACCTCAGTGAGCAAACCTTCAGGAGGTAATGTGATACGATGCTGTTTTATTGGATTTTGTTACAAGGAGCGTATAAGCTACAAAAGCTCGTTTTTATCGCCATTATACTCGCAGTTTTAACTCTAGTTCATAAAAAAAATAACTTTTTTCAAAAATTAACACTATTTAAATGAGAAAAAGT